TTGACATAAGAGTATTTGTAATGTCAATGGAAAAAGACTTGTTGATCATCTCACCTGATCTTTTCTCTCCACACACTCTTTTCCCTGCATACGTCATTGGTCAATACAACTCAGGATTATACAGGCGACAAATGGATTAACAATCAAGAACCAGAACACTTCTCATGTCAAAATCCAGTCCCCTGAGTACAGATTGTATATTTTTCTCAGACATTAAAGGAATGCGGATGAAATTTCAAAATATAAATGTAGACCAACAGTACATGAGATAATCTGACTGATTGATTACTGTTTTGTTTACGCATGAGTACACTACCCATCTGTCTATAACGCTTTCAAAATATTCAAAACCCATATAAATATGACAGTAAAACCTGTTTTTGAACATGTTCAATGTCAAAGAGCATCTGGTGTTTCTCCAGCTTTACATTTGCCCATTTTGTCAGAATTTGTTGCACAAGAGTTTAAAATAGATTCAGTGTACCTATTATTTAAGCCGCCCACACTGTATTTGGCAAACATAATGAAGGTAAATGATATAAAGAACAAGTACATAAGTAGCGTAACAAACTGTACACAGGTCTGGATCAGAACTGGTCCACTATAATGTACAATACATTAGCCATTATTCTCGTGTGAAGGTGCCTGTTGTAAAAGACATGTTGATGATGATGACAATCAGGACACAATGGTATATTTATCCAATCCAATTTATATAGCACATTAAAGAGAAAACAACAAAGTCATACCAAAGTGCTGTACAACAGAGGAACAAAACAAAGATAGAGAAGACAGAAGACTTAAAACAAGCAATGAAATCTCCTTAAAATAGTGTTATAGCATTATGTTAGTGTTGAAGGCCACGGCTTTGGCGTGTGGTGTATTTTGTGGACCCAGAAGCTGACTCAGAGACAGATGTCCAGTTAAAAGATGTAATTTTAATGTCCGAACACAGGGAGAACAAGGTATGAGAGAAAGTCCAGTTGGCTGTCTGGCTGTTGTGTGGGCTAGAGACACTAGGGAGAGGCAGAGGAGAAGGAAGTGAGAAGACATGCAAGGAATCACAAGGAGCAAAAAGGTCACGAGCACTTCGCCAAGGAGAAGGCCCGGAGAAGCGTCTGTACCACTCAGGAGTGAAGACAACACTCAGGCTCTGAGACTGAGGGCTGCTGGCTTCTTCAAGGGCCTTGATTGCCAATGCAGCGCAGGTGTGGAGTCTCTCTCAGCCTCAGCGACCAGGGGAAGGGGGAGTGCTCTGAAAGACACTCAAGCCAGACCAGGGACACAAAGAAAACAGGAAGTTCAACCAAAATAAAACCGGAAATGGAGGCGTCTCACCACACTACCCCATCAAACCCAAGAGGCATTTTGCCAGGTTTGTTGGGGTGAGCAGCGTAGAAGTCATCGAGGAGTTGATGATCCAAGATGAGGGAGCAGGAGATCCAGGAACACTCCTCTGGACCATAACCCTCCCAATCTAGAAGATATTGGAAGCCTCGTCCCCGAGGCCGCACATCCAGGATTTGTCCCACAGTGAAGGCAGGGTGGTTGTCAATCATCCGGTGGGGAGGAGGGGCGATGGAAGGAGGGCACAGGGTGCATGAAGTGACAGGCTTAATCAGGGAGACATGAAACGTGGGGTGAATTTTGAGGGATGAGGGAAGTTTCAGTCTTACCACTGAGGGGTTAATAATCTTCAGGGATAGGGAAGGGACTGATGAAGTGGGGAGACAGCTTGCGGGACTCAGTCTGCAGGGGACGGTCACGGGACTATAGCCAAAACATCTGACCGGGACGATAGTCTGGTTGCGCTTGGCCGTGTGAGTGAGTGCGGCCCTGGCAGCTTTTCACACCTCCTGTAGATGCCCAATGTGCTCCCTCATCGACGGGACAGCCACCGGGTGTTCCTGTTCGGGAAACAGGGGTTTTGCACCCAAAACAGCACATGAAGGGAGACATACCTGTGGCCGAGGAGGTGAGGGAGTTATGGGCGTACTGGATCCACGGGAGGTGAGTTCTCCAGGATGCTGGATGATGGGCGGCAACACGCCGCAAAGCTGACTCGAGGTTCTGATTGGCCCGCTCTGTCTGGCCGTTGGTCTGTGGGTGATAACCTGAGGAGAGGCTAGCTTCCGCGCCACCACCTGGCAGAAAGCTTTCCAGACCTGGGAGGAGAACTGGGGACCACGATCTGATATGATGTCAATAGGGATACCATGAAGTTGAAAAACATGAGATACTAGGAGGTTAGCAGTTTCTAGCGCAGAGGGGAGCTTGGGTAAAGGGACATAATGCACAAACTTTGAAAATCTGTCTATGATTGTGAGAATAACAGTGTTACCTTCAGAAGGAGGGAGACCAGTGACGAAATCTAAAGCTATGTGAGACCAAGGGCGTGAGGGCACAGGCAGAGGACGCAGCAAGCCAGCCGGAGGTTGGTGGGAGGCTTTGCCTCGGGCACTGATGGAGCAGGCGGCAACAAATGCCCGTACGTCCTGGACCATCCCCGGCCACCAGAACCGCTGCTGAAGGAATTGGAGGGTGCATTGAAATCTGGGGTGACAGGTGAGTTTAGAGGAGTGCCCCCATTGTAGGACCTGGAAACGTGCAACCTCAGGGACGAACTTCCTATCAGGAGGGCCAGTTCCAGGGTCCGGGTGTTTCAGGAGGGCCTTGTCTACCACAGTGTCAATCTCCCAAGAGGTGGAGCCGATGATACAGGAGGCAGGGAGGATGGTGTCCAGTTCTCTGGGGTCCAAGGTAGCAGAGGAATAGATCCGGGATAGGGCGTCAGGTTTGATGTTGCAGAAGCCGGGACGATAGGAGAGGGTGAAGCAGAATCTGCTGAGGAAGAGGGACCAGCGGGCTTGCCTGGACTTGAGGCGTCAAGCGGAATGGAGATATTGCAGGTTCTTGTGGTCAGTCCAGATGAGGAATGGGTGTTGTGCTCCTTCCAGCCAGTGTTTCCATTCTTGGAGTGCCCACACAACAGCCAGCTACTCACGGTTTTCCAAGTTGTAATTCCGTTCTGTGGGTGAGCAGTAGGGAGAAGTAGGCACAAGGATAGAGCTTCTGGGTCTCGGGATCCCTCTACGAGAGGACGGCCCCCACTCCGGAGTCTGAGGCATCGACCTCCACCATGAATTGGAGAGAGGGATCCGGGTGTTTGAGCACCGGGGCGGAGATGAAGAGGGACTTAAGTTGGTGGAAGGTGGCATCTGCTTCAGGGGTCCAGGAGAATGGGACTTTTAGGGAGGTGAGATGGGTGAGAGGCACAGCCACCTTGCTGTAGTTCCGGATGAACTTTCTGTAGAAGTTAGCGAAACCAAGGAATCACTGGAGATAGTTGCGACGGTGGGGACTTTCTACGGGTCTGGGCGTAGCTCCCCCTGGGCGATGATGTATCCTAAGAAGCTGATGGAGGAGGCATGGAACTTGCACTTCTCGGGTTTGATGAAGAGTCGGTTCTTGAGGAGTCGCTGGAGGACAAGTCGAACATGTTGTTGATATTCTTCTATGTTGCGGGAGAAGATCAGAATACTGTCCAGATATACGAAGATGAATTTGTTGATCATATCGCGGAAGACGTCATTGCTGAGAGCCTGGAACACAGCAGGGGCATTGGTGAGGCCAAAGGGCATGACGAGGTACTTAAAGTGGCCCATGGGTGTGTTGAAGGCTGTCTTCCACTCGTCGCCCTCTCTGATGCAAACCAGGAGATAGGCATTACGGAGGTCCAGTTTAGAGAGGACGGTGGCGTTGCAGAGAGGTTCAAAGGAGGCATCGATGAGTGGCAGGGGATATTTGTTCTTTATGGTGATTTCATTGAGTCCGCGGAAGTCGATGCGGGGACGAAGAGAGGACTCTTTCTTTTTAACAAAAAATAAACCAGCAGCCAGTGGAGAGGATGAGGGCCGGATGAGTCCAGAAGCCAGAAAATCCTGGATGTATTCCTCCATGGCTTCTCGTTCAGGCCGAGAGAGATTGTACAGTCTGCTGCTGGGGAGCAGTCACGAGCAGCTAATTCATCCTTTAACTGTTTGGACAGACAACAAGAAAATACGTGTTCTGTGTTCACCTGTTGCCACAATAACGCCCCAGCACAATAAAAGCTAAAAATATCTCTGAGACAGACAGAAGCCACTCTACTAACATTCACTGAAAGAGGTAAGAACAGTGCAGGTTAACTGTCCTCAAGATTTCAGCAGTACAGCATAACATTAAGTGCTATTCAGGTTATCTGGTGAAAATTCCTCTATTTTTTTAATATCGCAATATATATGAAAAAAATTGCAATGTTAGTTTTTTCCAATATCGTGCAGCCTTAACTAATAGGCTGTTGATCAAAGACTAAAGCACAGCGGAGCAGGAAACCTCTGCAGCCTCCAATCTCCCCAGCATAAGGCTTGGGAGGAGGGACATAAGGCTCTTTGAGGGCAGGGGAGGGGACCGTACTCACAGAGGGGGGAGACCCAGATTGCTGCGGGGGGAGCCGGGAGAGGAGTTGATCCGCAAGTTGCGGTACTTGAACGGAGAGGCCTTGGAAGGACTGGTTGAGGCCCTGGAGCATATCCTCAAGCTGACCGAGATGAGCCCCAAGCTTGTGGACGGCTTGCTGGAACCTGTCTGGGTCTACTGGATCCATTTTCCTGGCCTGAGTATTCTGTGGCGTGTGGTGTATTTTGTGGACCCAGAAGCTGACTCAGAGACACATATCCAGTTAAAAGATGTAATTTTGATGTCCGAACACAGGGAGAACAAGGTATGAGAGAAAGTCTGGTTGGCTGTCTGGCTGTTGTGTGGGCTAGAGACACTGTGGAGAAGCAGAGGAGAGGGAAGTGAGAAGACATGCAAGGAATCACAAGGACGAAAAAAGTCATGAGCACTTATCAAAGGAGTGGCAAAACACCTTTCGATGTTTTGCCACTAGGTTCGTGAATCTGAGTCAAAATGAGCAAAAAGTATTAATGCCAAGTAATATGCCAAAAATAGTATGAATAAGCCAGGGAAAAGGAGAGCTGAAGTGTGCAAATCCTATAAGGTGTCAAAGGTACATGGTTCCAATGGGAAACCCTGGCTGAGATTCTGATATTGTAACTGATATATAACTAATATTCTAGAGGTAGAAGAAGAATAAGAAGAAGAAGAACTTTATTGATCCCCAAAGGGAAATTCAATTGTCTGTTGTCTCATGTAATATGTCTATAAAAGTTATCTATTATTTACATCAGAGTTATATAGCCTGATGGCTGTTGGTACAAAAGATCTTCTAAATCTTTCTGTCCTGCAGCGAAAAGAGAGGAGCCGTCGTCCACCACCATTTGCCCTTTTGTCCATCAAGGTGTTGTGTAGTGGGTGATCCATGTTCTTTAGAATAGTCTCCACCTTCCTCAGTATAGATCTCTCCACCACATCCTCCACTGAGTCCAGCTTGAGTCCTACCACAGAGCCAGCCTTTTTCACCAGTTTGTTAGGACGCCTTGCATCTTTGTGTTTGATGCTTCCTCCCCAGCAGACTCCAGCATAGAACAGAACACTTGCCACCACAGACTGATAAAACATCTGCAGCGTCTTACTACAGATGTCTATTGATCGGAGTCTTCTCAGGCAAAAGAGGCTTTCTGTAGATGTAGTCTATATTCAATTTATATGGGTATCCATTAACATCTTTGAAAATCATGAAGTAAGTAATCAAAAGGAAGTGACTGATGATTCACTGGAAGGTAAGATGGTTCAATACACGGCACAGCCGCTCAGGGTTTGAAACCTAGCTTAAATGTTGACGTCTGTCAGCTTGTATAAAAACACACGTCCTCTCTGACAGTAGGTGACAGCTGAGCAGGCGATACAGCTGTGGCCTGTTGCTCGAGAGATGAGACAGAAGAGAGAGCAGGGAGGTGCTGAAGAGAGAGAGAGAAAGGGTACATTTTATTTTATCATTTCATTTATTTATTTATCTTTCCCCCTTCATTCTTCGTGGCAGGGGTCATGAAGGGGCCCTCTTGAATCACTTTGACCCAGACACAGGCAAACCTGTCAGCTGGCTTGTCTACACCATCCACTTCTCCACATAACCATTAGGTCATGACTCAAAAACAGTACATTTTACACCGTCTGGTAGATCTTGAATAGGAGCTGCAGTAAATAAATGTTATTCAAAATGAGTGAAATATAGTTAAGTGTTGTATCTATTTTTTGCTATTAAAATGGATAGAGGGTGATCAGGCTGGGAGATTGAAAAAAAAAAAAAAGCAGACTCGTCAGTATCATGATGTGCTTGTCTCCTTCTGAGATCTGTGTGGTGTAATTTGTTGTTTCTGTGATGGTTAAATTGCAAAGCACTCAAAATATGAACCAACTGTTTCACAGAAGTAGTTAAGAGTCTAGACTCTAAAAACTGCCAATCTCAAAATGATACGTCTGAGCATGTCTGACGTAAAACATGGGAGGCATTCACAGAGGTCGAAAAGAGGATGAGACAGTGAAACAAAGGACTCAACGGGGCAACTTTAGAGAACATCATCTTTAACTTTCATTTGAGCATCTACTTTATTCATTTCAACAACCATTACTTCATTCTCTTTTCTTCTTACCTCCATCTTATCCTTCGACTCTACCCAACAAGGCACACATAGCTCTGATGTGAGAGTTAGTTCCCAAATGAAAACATGCCATCCACTCATAGTTGTGGTTTCTCTGAAGCTGACAGCCACCTCATTCACTGACTCTGCTCTTTTAAAAGGCTAAATGGAAAAGATTCCCCCGATAACTGTACACAATTCATCATCATCACCTTCATTCAACAGCCGTATATTAACTGAAAGTGCTTCCAGAGCTTGGAGCCAGAGGTAAGAAAGTAAGAAAGCATTTAAGACCTCGTTCCCAGCAGTTTAAAAATACAGGAGGAAAATGCTAAAACATTAACACACAATTGATGAGGCACTTTGCATTGATTACAGATTTAATTGAAGGCTTTTATATGATGTACTGTACTATATGTAACTTTATCTGGCTCCATTCTCTTTACTCACTCTCATTTTTGCATATTTGAAAACTGACATATATTTTAATATCGCCTACTCAACGTGAGAGATAGCTCTGTGTGAGGCAAAACTACAAACTGGTTTTATGACTTCATTTGATGGGTATCTCACTGGAGTGCACCTTGGCAGTAGTTTCGCTGGAGTTATGCAGCTCCCATCTGCTATATAAGGCGTAATGCCCGGCATGCTGTCCATTATCAGGAATTAATGGACTGCACAGAGGTCATTCCTCCTTGATAATGGACACACTGTAGGACATTATCCCACTTAAACTATGGTACCATGCCAAAGACATTTGTTTTCTGTTACATTCTTTTGGCGTTTGAATTACTGTTCCTTGGTGTTACCCTCTTCTTGTTTTCTTCAACGTGTTCATCAAAGAATTACCTAGAATACAAATCAAACCATACACAGACTAATTAATCTTTTTCTTTTCACCTTAAGCACAAAACAAGCTGAGGCCATGAATGCATCACGTCACTATGGTTACTCATTTTAAATACTGGCTGATACAGTGTAACCAGAATGTCAGTTTATTAGATTGAATGTGTAAAAAGGTTTCCCAAGAACTGGAAGTTGGTCATCCTTAAGAATTAATGGACACTGCATAGCCAGTCAGGTAATGTAAAGCTGTATTTCTAGTAAATCAGCATTAAAACTAGGATTGTTATGTAGCAGGTTATCAACACAGTAGTCACACACTAGTTTAGATTGATATTGATCACAATTATCAGATTTAGATTCTAAATGTAAAATCTATGAGCATGTGTCAAGATGTTTGGATCTAGATTTTGTACTGCAAGTCTTATTTCCTCATTAGTGTTAATTTGAGAACAGGAAAGCAGGCTGTGTAAGGACTTTATAATCGCAATCACTTTGCTGCCAGAGCATATAGAGAGGAAGACGAGTTCAGTAGCATCACTCCAAATCAGCTTTCCCCCTTTTTAACATCATAACCATGTATGAAAGAAAACCGTGGTTTACTGTAAAGTCAATATACCTTATGATGTGGGTCTCCAAGGAAATGGTCAGGAACAGTGGGGCTGTCCCATGGCCAACTCTAGCAATAGCTAATGTCCTTGCACAGTCCATCAGTACCTCACAACTTTAAATGCTGACATTACAGGTACCAGGGTAGCGTTAACAAGAGGTACAAGAGAGCTTCATAGCTGCACAAAAACTGCACTGTGGACTTTATTAGGAAGACAGTAAGTGTTGTTCTGAGACAGCCCCAAAAACTGACTGCATCCTAGATACCAGTGCCGCTTAAAGTATATTTTATGCTGTTTGTATGGTATTTATTTTGTATAGTATGAGAGTATCAGCTTCAAAGATATCAAGGCAATTTACTCATCATAGCACACGTTTAATGCCCCTGCAGCGTTTTTACTCGCTGTATTGTCAAGTTGTCCCTTGTCCTAAAGTTGACCCAACGGTAGTTTTGCTCTTCTATAAAATCTAGACTAGAAAACTTAAAGCAGTGAAAAACACAAACAACCACATTCTTCATCTGGAATTACAGCTCTCCCAAAAATCCAATCACAACATACATCTGTCATTGCTCATATGATTTACACATATTTGGGTCACCACAAAATAGAGATCACAGAGATCCACCCTGGAGCTATTTCAGATATAGTTCATCTCACAATCGCTGACAGCTTCAATATTTCAAACGTTAACAGCCATCTCTATCACCAACACACACATAAAATCACTCATACTATTCTAAGACCTTCTTTTCTCTGTCAGGCATCATTCAAGTATAAGAGGTTATTAGTCAGCACCGCATAGAATAAGAATATATATAAATGACAGAAGAGAGGTCAAATGGAGTTAAGACCGTTCTGATATTAAACTAAATGTTTGGGTGGTAAAAGTAGACAGATAAAGAGAATGGAGACGTATGGAGGGCAAAATAAACAGACCTTTGGGGACACTGACTGCATTTGTGTGAACATGTAGGTGTGTATGTGTGTCTGGCAGCAAAAAAATAAAAATAAAAACAAACAGTACAAGTGTGTTTGCCTTCAAGTCAAAAGAAGATGAGTTTATAGATTTTTCCAGACTGTGCCATCTGTCTCAGAAGAAATATATACAGGAGTACATGTGCAAGCATGCATGCCAGCAAACACGCATACACAGAACAAGAACCATACAAAGAACAACATCATAAATTGCAGAAAGTTGAAACTCCTCAAAATAATGTATGGTAGAGATTCAGTAGTCTCAGGAGTTGTTTCTTCAGAGAAACAAACACTTGACTACTTAAGTTTGGAAACTGTGTTAGTTTATTATAGGTCACAATAACTTTGGTATGCCTCATTTTGGTGGGTTTTGGTTGAGCTCAAATGGCTCAGTATTCTCTGTGTTAGCTGGACAGGTCAGGGAAGTGCAGCGTTCTAAGATGCAGCTGCAGACTCTGTTTAATCAGACTTGCATTACTGCCTCCTCAGTATCACACAGGACATTCATCTGCGTTCACAGGACTGCGTTGTCCTGGATTTATTTTATATTGTTACATTTAAGATTAAAAACTTAAAAACCTTCTATAATTCTTTAGTAACCTTGGAGTTAACTGTTACATTTACATTTAGAAAAAAAACTAATCAGTATTCCCCATTTTGAGACCTTTTTATCGCCAAAAACTAGTACAGGTAATAACGATTTTTTTTCTGTCATACAGTTTGAATCAGCATTCAGGTGATATTTTTGACGCTGTCATATATCATCAGAGCTTTTGATTTAGATATGTTTTACGTCTCAAAGTGGGGGACCCAGCTGTGGTCTGTGTAGCACTGAATCATTGTTATTTCTCAGGCTGCTTTGACAGCCGATAGTCTGTATCTGAGCTCTAGTACTTCTCTCTGAGATGTTCTGACCTTTAGGTGGCCACTTAAAACTTTTAGACAGGGAACTTATTGACTGTCAGCAATGATTTATGTTAGTTAGAAGGAAGAGGGAGGAGCTGAAGGAAGCTAATCAAGAAGAAGTAAACATTTGCTGTCAATACTCAGCAGAAAAAGACATGAACACTTTCAAAAACTAGTCTAACCAGCAACAAAACCCCTGAAATTAGCCACCAAAATAGATGATTGACTGGCCAAAACAAAAATAAGTAAATAAATCGTCATTCTTTATCTTTTCCCTTTTTCCATCCGTATTGCAGCATCACTGACAATATTTTGAATACTGAGTTAACACTAAGCTACAGTATTTCACTGTATTTTATGTACAGTCTCACGTTTTTCTTTTGTCACTGATTGTGGATCTTGAAGTTATTACTCTTTAGGGTCTAATGATAACCAAAGTAAATCATAATAGCTCAATGTCTCTTCAGCATAGTGAGCTCTCTTCTTCTGGGGTTGGGTGCCATTTCAGTTTTATCAATTCTGGTTCAGATTCCAGCTCTGCTTATTGATTCTGGTTTTTATCGACCCCTAACTCCAACTCCAAGAACTTTGGAGAGTAGAAAATACCAAATATTTCACAAACATATGCCCCTTTATCTTTAAGTCAAATCCAACATAGACAGAGCATCTCCAGAACTACAATACAAGCTGAATTTTGTCAGTTATTGGGATTTGAAATTGCACACTAAAGGTTGTCTAAAATCAACTTGTATTGCAAAAAATGTTTTGCACATGTGCAATAAATCTCTTCAGAGCATGCAAACATTTTGAAACACAAGATGAAGCCCTGATTGAACAATGTGCTACTATTTAATCAATCAGATCAGTATTGTTGTTTATGAGGAACCGTACTTAGAAGGGGTATTTTCTGGTGACTCACTGACCTGAAGACTGGAGGCTTGCAACTCAATTTACACTTGGGGTTCTGTCACTCAGAAACACTGAGTTAGATGGAGCCTGGCTTGCCTTGAGCTCAGCTAATAAATTGTTGTCAATTTAGTGTACTGCCAATGTTAATTGAAGGAAAACAAAAATTTAATTTGCCATGTTTCACACAGATACAAGAAGTCGAGCAACAGAAAATTATTGGAACTTAATGCAGAATAAAGTTATGTTGAATTCAAACATGTATTGAATGGTGTAGTTTGACATGCCTAAAAACCATAAACCTTAAACTCTGATCGGGCAGTATGACTGGAAACATCTGTGAACATGAAACTTATTTTGGTATGACCACATTTGGTGAATGACTTAAATAGTGTGCTAGTTTACAGTGTGGCTTTATCAGTTATCAACACCACAGTGGTGAGCATGAACTGAAGTAAGTTAGAGAGCAAAGCACAAATAAAAACATCAGCAACACTTATTCACACACTCACAAGCCAGTTTATCAGCTCCACTGGTTATACCTGGTAACTGCTGCTTTAAGACCTAATTTGTCCTGGTACGGATTCACCAAGGCGTCTGAAACCTTCTAAATTGTATATTTTGAACAAATGGTGTATCGTGTCTCCACTCTTAGCTCACAGCTGTAACGTCTCTCCTTCCGTCTGTTGCTTTCTCTTGCTGTTTCTCTCTTGTCTGACTTGCTTGAAATCTCTCCCAATCTCTCAGTCTCTTTGTTTCACTTTGACTATCACTCTTTTTTTCTCTTTCTCCTCTTTCGCTCCCTTTCCCCCCATTGAGACTGCTCTCCTCCTTCCTGTCCTCTCTGTTCTTCTCTGTGATTGTTCTACGCTTGTCTGAACCTTCTCTGAAACTCCCTGCAGGATGAGTGGTGGGCGCAAACACACACACACACACACACTCGCTCTCTCTCTCTCTCTCTCTCACACACTGACACACACACATACACACACAAACAGTTTGCACTCACATTTCCTACGTTTCCCACACAGCAACCAAACATGAACACAGACACCCCTGCCCTCAAATGCACTCCCAAAATTAAACACGTTTTCAGGAAGCAGCAAGCAGGCACCGACCTGCACACACACACACACACACACACACACACACACACACACACACACACACACACACACACACACACACACACACACACACACACACACACACACACACACACAGTCGTTGTGGTGACATTTGATATAAATGGCCCAATGGAATTTCCTCTGCTGGTTAAAAAGGATTGAAATGCCACTGCAGGCATGATCACAAATCAATAGCCCAATCTTTAACCTGCCATTTTGTTGTGTGTGTGATTGTGTAAGGGTGTGTGCCTGTTTTTGCATGGGTGTGTTTTCTTTTTTCCAGGGCCACAACTAGGGAAAATTTTATCTGTCTTTGCAATTCCATGTTGTTTTTCATTCATTTGATTGTGCTGCCTTAAATGTCTCTTATCTGTGTTGGTATACAGAATATACTTTATTGATGTTTGGAAAAACTTCAGCAGAAAAAAAAGATAGACCTTGGATGTAATACATCTGAAGGATTTCCTGTTTCTAAAACTGTTGTGATCTGAAGTGATTTTTGTATGGACACTGTGCAGCAATAACTATTCATACAAGAACATAATCCATCTCAAGAGCTGACCCCCAAAGTCGATAATTCAGATACAGTAGTGTTGAATCTCTGCACTTTTGTTTTTCAGCTGCATTACAATACAGAATGATGCAAGAGAAATGTCACGGCATGCTGCTAACTTTGCAACCTATTTCAGATGTAGTCTTCAAGTATTTTTTACTTCAAACTAATTAATTTAGCAGATCATTAACTGGACAGCTACCGTGTTGACATTGCAGAGCTTAATAAGAGTAATTTATGTAACGTGCCTCGATAAAAGGCAAAAATTACCTGTTCAACAGGCCCAAATCCTGGCGGAGATTTCTCCACTGCCTGAAGGATGACCCGATGTTTATTCAAGTTAGATTCCTTTTTTGGTCACATTTCCTCTATGTCTCTGCCATTTCTTCTGCCGGCTTGCGTTTTTTTTTTAGCACTTTTGGCGTTGGGGCAAGCAGAAGTGTTTTTTGTTTTTGTTTTGCTTGTTTTTGTGGAGGGCTAGCTAAACTGCTGCTTCTGCAAGCGTTACATGATGTTAATGTCATCTGATGCAGAACTTTGTTGTAACTAAACTGAACTGAAAAAAAAAATATATGGCACCAAAATATGATTCAACTGGCAAATTATCTGGGTCTACAAAACCCAAATATTATTTCAAGTAAAAGTTTAGGTTCCCAGGAGCTCTGCAAGAGCTCTCAAGAGTTGTTTCTTCTGTAGCGCATTTTAGGGGGTTATCACCTCCTAGGGTAAAGAAGGGGAGGCTAAAGATGAGTGAATTTGAAGATTTACAACAGATCAGTAATGATATGGTATAAATGCAAAGAGGTGCATGGATTAAGGTGTAAATCTGATTCATTTAAGATAAATCCATGCTGCTTTACTGGCTTTAAAATAGCTTTTTCAACTTATGATCCTTTTAGTCTCTACACAGTGGTATTTGATCTAGGCTTTTCCTCTGATCATTTCTATACTTTTACATTCTGCTCAAATTTCCTGCTGGCTGAGTTCAATGTGTCACTGAACAACAATGAACAATGAACACTCTAATTTCCCCTGAGAGAGCTCTGTGTGCCCAAATAATGGGACAGTCTGTGTTTTGAGGCTTACGTGAAAGCATGAATAATTCTGGCAGTGAATCATACTTGACGTCTATGGTGTTGAAAAAAGTATGAGAGGTGATACATGCGAACAGAATACGTTTATTAGTTACGCCACCACTGCAGGGGGCCTTCACCACCAGTTCTGAAACACTTAATGAATGTGTCTCTCATCCAAATACTCCATCCACTGTTCTAAAAGCTGATATCACCCGAAGGCAGAACCAAAAACGAGTGCCAGCCACATTTTTTAAACTCTTCTTGCAATCTTAGCTCAACTGACTTCAGACCAGATGTCCAGAACAGTGCCTGCTGCTTGTCAATCAGCATTTAAAAATGACTGGCAGGTCCTGTCAGCTAAAGCTATTATGAACCAAGTTCAGCTCTGCTCACAAACTTTACACTTCACTTTCACCTACATGTGACCTTAAAGAGGTCAAAAAAACAGTGTGCCACTCCTGAGGCTGATCCGTAACTTCTATAATTTTCATCAACTAAACAAGAATGAGCTGATTTGATTTAACCATTTAGTAAATCTCAATATTGTAAAACTACATAGGTTTTGACTCCAGGAGGCAGAATTGTTATGCACTGGGATTACTGTATCTGGAACCTCAAAGAGTAAATTAGTCTTAAAAGGATCTTTTTTTGCTATTTTAACCCCAGGTTACATCACTGATGATGTGTCTAAGCTGTACCTACAGGTGTATGTAAAAACTAGTTCATTCTTTCCAAGCCAGTGACGCCCGGGAACAGACCGGTTGAAGACCGCGAAGAGTATGGTGACAGCTGGAGAGACAGTAACCGGGGCAGGGAGGTTTAGCACCCTAAACTACAGCTCCTGTGAAGGAGAACCCTAATAAGCTACAGAGAGCCTTGATGAGTCAAACCCCCAGGGGTGCCTGAGGGGGGGGGGAATCCATCCTGAACGGACGGATACACAGATAATGACCCAAGCGAATGGAATAACAAGTGCAAACTGTACATGTGGCAAATTCTGCAAAAACCAGCATGGCCTGAAGATCAACCAGGCCAAAATGAAATGCCTAAAGGTGAAGCTTGTGGAGCACAGGTGTAGCACCTGGTAAGACGCAGGAGGAGCCAGGCCTGGAATCACCCCACAGTGCCCATACCCTCCACGCCCCCCTGCTTCAACTAAAGTAAGGCGTTCAGAACATCACCTGGTTAAGTGGCCATCTGCCAAAAAGGAAAGGGAGTGGCTCCAGTTTGATGACAACATGGACCAAATGCTTGAAGCAACAGCAAAGGTGGGTGTTAACCAGAAGCTGCAGCTGGTGTCTGCCATGATCGTCAGCATGGCAGTGGAGAGGTTTGGCATAAAGGAGCAGCAAGCACCCAGGGGTGGAGGGGGGCCAAATCGACAGGAGGAAAAGATCAGTCAGCTGCGGCAGGAACTCAGACTGCTCAGGCGTCAGTTCAAGCAAGCAAAGGAGGAGGAGGAGAAGGCCGGAAGGCCAGTCTGGCTGAGCACCATAACATCCTCCGTCAAGCAGAATGGCACAGAAGGAGGGGCAGAGAGAGAGCCAGGGGTTACCCAGCTTATCCGGGAGGCACGGGAAGGCAAACAAAAGAGACCTGGGAGTCCTGTGGCTGGACCATGCCAATGTCTACAAGTCAATCCCACACAAGTTGGTAGAAATCTCCCTTAACTGACACCATGTCCAGCTTGACAGTCACCTCGGGATCAGCAACATCAGAATCCTGGCTGAAAAAGGGCATTATCACCGGGTGTACCATCTCAGTGATTCTGTTTGCCCTAGCCATGAACATGCTAGTGAAGTCAGCTGAGGTGGAGTGCAGAGGCCCATTGACCAAGTCAGCTGTGGGGCAGCCCTCTATCAGAGCATTCATGGATGACCTGACAGTAACCACAGCATTGGTTCCTGGGTGCAGATAAATCCTTTACGGCCTTGAGCATGCCATCAGCTTGGCTCGGATGGTCTTTAAACCATGAAAGTCTCGGTCTCTGGTTCTGAAGATGGAGAAAATCACAGACAAATTCCGCTTCTTCATAGAAGAAGTCCTGAGTCCATCTATCAGAGAGAAGCCTGTTAAAACCTTGGGCAAGATCTTTGACAGCACCCTGAGGGACACTGCAGCACTGAATATGACCAGCAGTGAATTAAGAGCCTGGCTCACTGCATTGGACAAGTCAGGGTTGCCAGGAAAGTTCAAAGCCTGGATTTACCAACACGGCATCTGGCCACGCCTCCTTTGGCCGCTGCTGGTGTACAAATTCCCACTAACCATGGTCAAGGGCCTAGAGGGAAGATCAACCACTACCTGTGCAGGTGGTTGGGCCTACCTCGGAGTCTCAGCAGCATCACCTTCAGCAGTCTGACGGAGGAGTTCATGGTTACCCGGGCAAGAACAGAGTGACCAGGCAGAGTCACGATTGCAGCACAGTGTGCTAGTGGGCGCGGTGGGGTCTGGGCGAGCAGGGCTGGGCAGCAACCCAAGACAAGGCCCAGGGGAAAGAGAGGCGTCGGCTAGTGCAGGAGAAGGTCTGAGCAGGGGTGGAGGAAGGTCGTTACTGCAAGGCAGTGGGGATGTAGCAACAGGGGGTGTGGACCCGATGGTAGCAGGCTGTGGATCGGAAGAGCTCTTGGCCAGAGTTGTGGAAGGCGGAGCCACAGCGCATAAGGTTCCTAATCCAATCCACTTATAATGTCCTGCCCAGCCCATCCAACCTCTTTAGCTGGGGCCTGGCAGACACCCCAGCATGCCCACTATACCAGAGGAGAGGATCCCTGGTGCACATTCTTAGCTGCTGCCAAAAAGCCCTGGGAGGGGGGCGTTATCGTTGGCACCATGACCAGGTGCTAAGGGCAGTGGCAGAGGTCATCAGCACAGGGATCACTGACAGCAAGCTGCAGAAACCTGCAGCAAAATCAATTGCTTTTGTCAAGGCCGGAGAGAAACTGAAGCATCTCCTAAATCAACCAGGGGGCCTTTTATCAACTTTGTGGGACTGGCAGCTGAAGGTTGACCTCGGGAGACAGTTAAGATTTCTAGACAAGATCGCAGTGACCATGCTCAGGCCAGACATTGTGCTGCCGTCAGAGACATCGAGGCAAGTGGTTTTGCTAGAGCTAACTGTCCCCTGAGAGCCAAGTATGAGAAACTGACCAGCATGTGCTGAAATAATGGTTGGACAACCCATTACGACCCCATCGAGGTTGGGTGCAGAGGCTTTGCTGGCCAGTCATTCTGGAGAGCACTTAGGAGACTGGGGATTAGGGGACTGCACAACAGGAAAGCCATCAAGAAAATCACTGATGCTGCAGAGAAGGCATCATGATGGCTGTGGATCATACTTGATGTCTGTGGACACAAGCTGCTTAGACACAAGCTGGGGCTTGATCAAACCTGGCTTGGTCGCCTGGAAGAGGGTGTCTGACTGTTGAAAGACCCGAAACTCCCAATGACCCCAGGTTACATCACTGATGATGTGTCTAAGCTGCACCTACACGTGTATCTAAAAATACAGCTGACAATCAAACAGTATCAACTAATACACCACAAAAGACCAACACAGGTTGCAACAGAGGCAGCGCTCTTCACCATAAACAACAGTGGCACAATTAAAACAGCCAAATAAGACGTTTAAGCTGCTTACCTTTGGTGTCTTCAAGAAATGTTTCACCATGCAGGAGATGTTCCATCTTTTGTCCCCAGGTTTAAGTCCAGTTCATGAGGCCATCCAGTCTTTGGAGAACCCTAATTTTAGAGAACCGTTGATGTTGCGTCCAAACAACCGGTGTACATCGTTAGATGCTAAATTACATTTTGTTTTCTGACAAGAAAAATAGCGGGTGGCATTATTTTTTTCTGACCGGAATGAAGTTGTTGGTGCCTCTTCCAAGAGTTACATTCCTCTTTTTTGTCTTAGAGCTGTTTCTTACAAATTCAGAAACTTTTTTTTTAATGCATAAAAAAATACCCTCAGTTAGAAGCAGCTTGCTTACTTGATGAGTCTCCATGTCAGGACATGCTGACCAAAGTACTGACTGAGAGACACTACAAGATAGTGGATAATTAGCTCGATTCATAACCTACTTTTGGTTGCTGTGTCTCAAATGTTGCAGTAGCCACTTTTTAAGAAACAAGCAAGATCAGATGGAGTCATATCCAAACAGAGTGTTGGCTACTAACCCGCGTTTGAGCATGTCCGGCCTATGGGCTCTATGCACAGCTCCACTACTCCCTGAATTTTGGGCAGCTCCTTTATTTCCTGTCATACATTATTGGACAAATTGACAGATCCAGGTGTGACTGATCATTGTGACTGCTCAGACACACCTGGATTAATTAGCTTGTCCAATGATGTAAATCAGGAAATAAAGGAGCAGCCTGAAATTCAGGGAGAAGTGGGTCGGTGCACAGAGCCCATTAGGGGCAAGTCAGCTGTACAAACAAATACAAGTGGGCATGGAAACAGTGGGTTTTCCTAATTAAAAAAAAAAAAAAAACACAAGCTTTTATATTTAACTTATTTTAATGAACAGTTTTAAATTCTGTAACTCTAAATCTAACCAACTTATGGTGATTTTTTTTTGCTTCATAAAAGTCTTTACATGAAATTTTTAGTAGTCAGTCTTGCACAGACTGCTGTCTTTGAACCGGAAAATGATAGAGGTCAGTGACTTCATAACACAAAGTTATTTACACTGAAGTAACAACTGATGGCCTCTTTCCTATCTAAAAAGCAAAGTCTTTAAGTAAGACTTATTTTTTTACTAAAACATTAATCTTGTTGCCACACTTTTTAATCTCTCAACAGCATTTTTGCTTCTACATTTGTCATTCAAAATACTTGTTTTCTCCTTTTCTGCCATTTTTTATCAATCTGTCCTCTCTGGACCAGGGCACAGCTTCATCTCCTTGCATGGTCTGGCTTATCTTGTTCAGTACAGCCCACATTTATTCAAATCTGACTTATTGGCATTTAATTAGATTTTTACAAAGTCAGCATTCCCACCCTACATCTTAAACTGACATACGGATCTTTGTGAGCTACAGTATTATCTGCAGAATGGAGTTGCATAATTGGTAAAGTGGCAACATGTCGAGATGTTGGTTGTGCAAAATAGCTCTTACGAACAGGTGTTTCAACAGAAATGGGTTTGAATAATCTGCCAGCAATTTTTTTGCATAAATTAGGTCCTGCCACCTCGTGTAATGAGTTTGTAAAGTAGATGTAGAGTGTGAGTCCTGCATACAAAATCAGGCAATTACAAATGTTTAGGAATAATGATTCCAATATTCTACTGATATGTTTCCCACAGCATTGATCACTTACTTAAAGCTATTTTAGTTGTCATGGGAAAAGCAGTCATGTCATACAACTCGTCTAAGTTCTCTTTTGCCAGCACACAGCCAATATGGTTCTGCTCATATCATAGGTTCAACGATCTGTTACAGGTCCCAGTGTCACCTCGCCATACTGTTACCACTTATGCGTCTCATTAAAAATCCCACAGACACCTCCTGTTTGCTGTCATAAAAAGGCTACATAAATCCAATGCTTCAGAATCAAAGGTGTTACTACTTTACCTTAGTCTCATTTTCCCTACATACTTCACCTTCACCATACTTCTATAAGTATGCCATGCAAAACCTAAAGAGATACACCTGTATTCTTTAATATCAAAAAATGCCCAAACGGAATGATTTGTGTAGCGAGAGGTGTTGTGTGAGCTCATCTGGGGGTTTAGGGAGGTGAGGGACTGTCTTGTTAGAGCAGTGCATGAGTTATTTGACACAGCTGCTTCCTGGTCAAGAGCTTCTTAGAGCTGGAATTAGGTTAAAAAAAAATAAAAAACAAACATCTTTGTTCAACAACAAAATTGTTTTCTATTTGGATAAAAGAACCACATTGAAGAACCAATCAAGACAACGACAGATGCTGGTTTGATCGCTTTCAGTCCAGGCTACAATTACTTTTGTGTCTCTATTGTTTTAAAGGTGCAAATACAAATACTTGCTCTAAAACACAAACACAGTGCACATTTCATGGTTGTTAGATAATATTGTATAGTAGATAAAGGCTTTATCTTCATCTCCATGATTTAATGACTTGGAAAAAAACATTGAGACATGTTTTTCTTATATATTTATTTTGGGGCTTTGGGCTCCTATTTGCAGAGGCCCAGACAAAAGAGGAGAATACACAGTAAGAGAGTTTTGGGTTCAAGTCTGGGCTAGGGCATATCTGTTTGGAGCTGGGCTAAGTCCTTTCAAGTACCAGAGTGAATAGGAAAGTAGAGCAAATGTAAAATGTGAAAACTAACATCCAGCTCAGTGGTGTAGTAAGTTAGGCTGCTGTTTTACAATGGTAGAGCTCTGGGTTCAAATCCAAGCTGGGTTTGGGGCTCTCCATGTGAGATGGAAATGAAAAGCTTGTCTTACACTGCAGCACTACAAATTACTTTAAACAACAAAAGCAAAATGGTGGAATGAATAGACCTAGAAAACTAAGTACAGCCAGTAAAGCCTGTGGTGAGATGGTTATAACCATTGCCTTTGAGTGAAATGATCCTGGGTTCAACCCAGCCAGAGAGGGTGGAACAGGTAGCTGTCCCTAAGCCAATAAAATCAAAGGCTCTTTTCTGTCAGCAAATCACACCCAGCACAAGAAGAGCACAAGCTACAGAAAAGGAGAAGAAGGAAGGGAAAAGAAAAGCCACAAAAGTTTATATTTTTAAAGATGCTCACACTTCTAAGAGCATAGAGGGAGGGTCTCATTTTCTCATTTTTGTCTCCAAAGGATTAATTCAATCTCTTTCTGCCATCCTGCAGCATCTGCCTGACCATCCACAAGTCACTACTGGGAAATTGTGTCAGCATGGATCAGCATGCAAGTTCCATTAATGTACAGTCTACTATGTATGTGTGTGCCTGTGTGTATGTGTGTGTAAATGTCCTTTACCTGCTTTAATGTCTTTTTGTCTGCAGCCTGAATACATATCATCTAAAATGGTTGAAGTGAGCTCCACATTTATTTGTGCATGCGTGTGTATGTGTGTAAGTTTGGCTTGAGTACCA